TAGCTGGAGTTAAACCACAACACCAACCCAAATCACTCTGTGGTTGTATAATTCTGTGATTTCACATGCTGATTCACAGCAGCTTTGGTGGCAAAGCATCCAAACAAGTTAAGAAACTAACATATGATTACAGGTCTGAGCAAAAGAAAACAATTTGTCAAAAGCTGAAGGAAGTTTAGCCTAATTTTCCCTTTGGTAAAATAAAAAGATACATGCGTGGCAGGACAGACTTTTTTTTTTGTTGACCAGCAGGTACCCCATACATGGCCATCCATTTCCAAATGAGCATTGTGGGGGAAAAAAAATCATTTTTAGAGCCATATTTGGGAACACTGGATCACTCAAAGATTCAGAGAGCAACAGTTCTGGAAGCTGCTGGCCTGGTGTTTTATTTGCTATCCCATCATTTGATGCCGGGCAGAGCTCATTGAAACTGGGCAGATGGGGGGAGTATCTCTGCCACATCCTGCAAAGCAGAAATTATAGATCATGTCTGTATACAGCCAAGTTAAAAAAAAAAAATAATCTCACAGCAATAGTATACCTAAAAGAAAATAATTTAAAAACATCAAAGGTAATTCTCATGGAGACTGACATAATATTAAATTGAAATAAATTCACATTTTCATTCCACTAAACAAAATTAACACAGAACCCCCACACATAAAGCGAAACCACAGAGTATGCATTGGAAAGACAGCTTAGAACTCCCAAGGTTTAACTCCAAACATTTTTTTTATTAAAGTATGAATGCCTTTACGCAGGAGAACAGTTTACATACATCGTAAAGCAACAAGCGTATTTTCAAGAGGCGTGGGTCCTTCTCCATCTCTCCATGCCCAATCTACATGCTTTAACACTGGACTCACACATACACTCTCACATACAAACATACAGACCCACAAAACACAGACACAGAGCTATCTGCTTCGATTAGCTTTCTTTTAAGGCTTCTCTAAGGTGCCTCAGTGCCCCTAACATTACCGTAAGGATGACCAAAACTGGATGAAGGAGCAGCATTACTTGCAAACTATTCGTCTCCTCTCGGCCTTAAAAAATATCAAGTGAAACAAGCTTTTCCTTTTATCTGAGATTTATTAAACATCTGCATGTAAGAAAGGCATGACTCTCTATATCTGTGAAGAAGGAAAGATACAGGGATCTTAACATAAGCTTCTCAACCAGAACAGTCGTTCAAACCTGAATCCTAAGGGACCGTTTCCTTTGATCTTTACAGTAACGCAGCCCTGGCTGTCCGACGAGGCGCTACCAATGCCATCCCGCCAGGGCCACTCAGCCAGCAGTGAGGAGAACAGGAACACAGAGCTGAGGCTACCATGATCATATCACTTCAGACCTGAGGTTGATGAGAAGTCACAGTTCAAGCACTGACAGACCCAAGTGTCCCTCAACTCTTACCAGCAGGCCCCGCTCCTGCGGACCACGTCAGGGCTGGAAACCGCACAGACAGTGGTGCTGGCTTGCTGTACCCCTAGCCATCACTGAGTATTTTTGCCCACCCCTTTTTGGTATCCTGCAGTATATAGACTGAAACTGCAACTACTGGTGTTGGGTGAAAGACGTGGCAGCAGGTATATTAAGAAAATAGGTACAACGAATAAAATAAAGGATAGCATATGATATAATGTGTACATACAAGCATTTTCTTTCATTTTTAATCTCTGAAATGTGAATTAACTGCAGAATGCCAGGCCATTAGTCTAAAAGGCTATGTATGGCTGTCTGAGCCTACGTACGGGCAAAGGGTTTTTGTGGTGCATCATGGAGAAAGACTCTTCAGAAACCATTAGGACTTTCCAGGTGTACTTGCCCTTGTGCATCAGCATCATCCCCCAGGTGAGAACACCAGAGGAGCAACTAATAAAATTGCCTGACCAGTCTTGTAAGACAAACAGGAGTGGCTCTACTTCATGGTACGCACCTGAACTACAGAGATGAGAAAAAGACAGTGATGGGGGTGTGAGAGACGGGGGAGGGAGCTTTTTTCTCACTTTTACAACAGCAGCAGATTTCAATGTAACGTAATTACTTTAATGATGCATATCTGTAGGTACTGAATTGCTCTTTTGATTTAAAAAGCTGGTCAGACAAGTGTTTGGCAGTCCTTTCATTCCCCAGTTTCAATTGTTGCTTATTCATCTATCAGCTTTTTTTTTTGCGAACCCGTGAAGGAGTTCAGTCAGCCATCGTCAGATTCAAATTCATGAGACACTTCCTCTGACGAGCTGTTCCTGTGGATCCGGCCATCGCTTTTCATGCTGTGAAAAGTCTTCTTAAAGGCCTCCATCATGGCATGGGCCAGCTTCTTGGCCTCTAGCTTGCTCTCACACTCCACAGCATGGCAGTCCATCTGGTAGGACAAGTCATCGTTGATCTCCCGATAGACCCAAGCAAAGATGTTTGGGCTGACGTTGTGGTCAGCAGTGCAGTAGGCTATACGTGCTACCTGAAAGGTATCCATGTGGACTGTCGCCTCGCCTTTGAGGTCCAGATGGTGCAGCCAAACTTGGAAAGGGCGAATTTCCAGAAGGGCATTAGCTGGGTAAATATCCTCCCTGGCGAGCGTGTGCTTCTTCCATAATTCAATGACTGGTTTCTCTGTGCAGCCTGACAAAAATTGCATCCCTTTTGTGGAAACCTTACCCAAATATGTTACCTGCAAAGAAGAGCAAAGATTGGTGAGACACAGACAACTGATTCCAGCATTGCTTTCTGCCATCCCAGGGAAGTTTATCTGGAAAATAAAAGCATCCCACCCCCCCTCCCGCAAACTCCCCAATTTTCCCATCATCTTCAGTGAAACAGTTTTCAAACTGCTTTCCAGAAATGTGCTTTTTCAGATGCTGACTTCACTACACAAACCCAGAAGTTAAAAATGTTCAGTCTCTGAGTTTGAAGGGATTTCACTCTCTTCAGCTCCCCTGGAAAGCTCAGCTCTAGAGCCCGTGCCCGCACCTCTAAACTCGTGTTAGCAAGTCTAAGTGCCAGTGGGCCCAGGTAGCTTTGAGGCTAACCACATTTTTTTTTTTTTTTTTAGTTTCTACTTTATTCAGATTATTTATTTTTATCCTATTTCAAACATTCATATTAGTGAGACAGACATTCTCAGTTTGACAATGCAAGGCTGCAGGGGTCAGAAAAGTATGATCACGGTAGAGGATTTTAAATTCTTTGACTGCATTTTTCCAAAATGATTCTGGTTTTCCATCACTTCTGTTGTTTCTACTTAAGTATTAAGCCAGGAATAGCTCAAAGCTGTTCAAAACTCTATCTCTGAGCAGGGCTGAGGCAATTTATTACATCAGTTTAAGAAAATATGCTGGTAAAAACAATCTAGTAACAAATCTACCTTAGTTTAATCCCATCATCTCTATGCTTTTCTGTCTAGCTCTTTTGAGTAAATATCCCGTTATCCAATCTGCACAGGAAAGCAAGGTGTTTTTAGTGCCCTTACTGTATTTTGTTCACCAAAAATCAAATTCACTGAGAGGTCCACATCAAAATCTGGTATTAAGCCTGTGCAGAAACATTCCCCTACATCCGTGCAGCTGTTAAAGAGGTTTGCTTCCACTTACAGCTGAATGGAAGATTATTTAATCTGGGAAAAAGGATTTTCTCTAGAAAAGACAGATCGATGACACATAAATATGATTATGCAGATTATTCTATTTTTTTTCCTCTTGACCAAACGCTGCATTTAAGAACAACTACATGAAAGCAAAATTGCTTCTAATTTGTCTCTGGCAGCAGTAACTGCTTAAGACAGAATCTTGTGCCTCTCGCTTGATGCCTTATAACCTCGTGTATTTTACTCAAGGCATTTGGAGAAAGAAAAGAAAAAAGCCATCACATGCACCTTCCAAACAAATTTCTTCAAAATTCAATATTAAACACACAGTATCAGCTATTTTTTTGTATATGCTTTGAGAAATGCAAAGAAAAAATAGGGGATTTACACATTTAAACACATTAAATAATCATACCCACAAGAAATACAGGATTTGTGTTCCATGCAAACAAGATTTTCCACAAGAAAAACATTTTGCTGCAAGCTTCATAGGTTTTGTTAAAACCAGAAACCAAATTAAGCCATAATTAAGGAAAAAACTTACAAAACATCATTGGAAGTTCGTGTGGCTTAATCACGCCTGCCAAAAAAGCAATTTCATAGCACTGACATTTCAAAACGGGAATTCTTATTCTTTGCCTATAAATATTCATGCTTCGCACTGGGAATACGTTAAATCTTATAAAGCTTTATATTTTTTGGAACAGTGGGAAACAACAGCTAGAACAGTTAACGAGGCAAGACCTACCAGTGTTTTGCTTTATTTTATTAGTGATGAGAGCTGAGTTCCCTAAAGTACTGTAGAATAACTTGAAAGAAAACCTCAGAGCTCACAGCGCCAACTCAGCACACACAAACAGCACGTACAAGACCAAAGAGGAATGCGCCTGCAACATACTGGCAGGTATTTCAACCTATATTCACAGTCATATTGCTTTGAAAGGATCGAGACCGGTGTGCAAATTTGAACATCCAAGATACTCTCCGAAGGTTTGCTCAGCACCGTTTCATGTTCACAAGGCAGCCAACAAAGGACGAACACACACTGGCAATTCACTGAGCATCTGGGGTTAGATCCAAAGCCCATTCCAGTAACAGAAGTCCTTCACTGACTGCAAAGAGATTTGCACAAAGCCTTTACACCCTGAGGAACAGAGAATTAGCCTCTTGCTCACGCACTTTGTCACTGCCCATATACAGTTTTCAATCCGCAGCGCTGGAGAGATGCCGCCAACACTGCCAAGTTTTGTCCCTCCAGCACTGTTTGGAGAAGACCGGTACCACCTGAAGCACGCAGAAATAAGCCTCTCCTGAGTGCACAGCAGGAAGCGCAGAGACTTGTTTCCGTACGGGCTTGCCTGCAAAGGGAAGCTGTTGACGGCACGCGAGCTGCCCTGCCGCGACGGCGTGTGGAATGGGGCAGGAAAGGAAGCAAAGGCAGCTACATCCCACGCAGGAAGGAGTATTACAGGTCTTCCCAGGCAGTCAGTGCTGCACGTTCACCCCGTCTCTCAGAACGTCAGCTTCTGAGCACAGACCCCAGTAATGCTCAGGACACCTCCAGCAGCTGAGGGGCAAGATGGGAGCGGGTTGTCACATGGGAGTGTAACCTGAGTTTAATGTTCTTCCTGCCGCTAACTGCAACCCTGTTGGCCCTCAATCCGTGCGTGGCCTGCCAAAGTGTGAACTCATGCATTTTCTTACAAATACGGTGTTTGTATTTTATGAGGAAAAGCAGGTTATTACCCTGCAAGCAGGCAAGGCCAAAGTAACTGAGGAGAAGGATAGGGTGATGGCTCATTTACCAACATGGGATGCAATGGTCTCATTTACTGTCCCAGTTCTGTCACAGTATAGCTGTGTAGGAGCCTTTGGAAAGTTGCTTCCTTTAATAGCACTTTGCATCCCCATTATATAAATCTCCTTTTCCTTTGAGGACACATTCATAAATATTTATAAAGGTGCTTAGATATTACAACAAGATGTTCACGAGAGAGAGGATAAACAAAACCTCTGGTTTAGTCTCTCCTGGACTGTGTCACACACACAAACATCAACACCTACTAATGTTGTTATTTTGTGTTTCTTTTTAAACAAATGATCCTTTTTTTTTTTCCTAGTTGAGATACAAGCCTTTCACTAGAGCTGCATTCCCAAAGCCCTTAGTGAAGACAGACGTTTAACATTTCATCAATTCACGGTCCCCTGCTACATACAGAGCAGGGTTACAGGGGCTGATGTGACACCTCGAATATTGGACAAAAAGGGCAGCATCCTGTACTGAACAAAGCCTTCTTCATGATTAAATATCACCTACATGTTATTATTAGATATTAATTCATGTGGATCTGTCCAACTGAGAAACTTAGATACAAACATCTGCATAATTTCCGGGACACTGAACTAAAACCAGAAAAAGATGGATTTATGGGGCACTTCTCCCTGAGCTCTCAGTTAGAAGGTTATTCCACAAGCAATGCTCCCTGCATCTTGGCTCCTACCTCATCGTGCCTCACAGCACACCCACCTTTATTTAAATGCCCAGAAACCATCGACCACACACATTATTAAAGGGATTACAGTACAACCATCTCCCTTTCCTATTTCCAAGTTGGCCAACCAAAGATCAAAGAACATATTCATCCTTCCATTATCACATGAAGAAGAAAATTATTTTGAGGCAAAAATTCCCACTGCTGCTCTTTTCCATTAAAATTGATGGTGTTTCATCAGCGTGAAGCCAGCAGTTTGCATTTAAAAAAGAAAAATCATCTTTAATACTCGCAAGAACCAGATGTGAAGGGCACAGACATTACTGTTATTATTAGTGCATGTGCAAACACACACTGAAGAAGTGCCTGGACAGAATGACCTGTACAGCCTTACTGACTAGAGAGTAACCATTGACAAGGGCTGGCAATGGCCACAGCTCAGGCTGTAAGCCGCATCTGTGATGATACAGCTCTGACCACCAGCCAAACTTCCCCAGGACTCCATAATGCTTTTCCTTCCTCTGAAACACTGGACAGAGGTCACTGGGCAGCAAGCATCAGTCCAGGAAGACGACCAGCTTGTGATAACATGTCACATCCTACAGCAAGCATCATCCCCGAGGCCTGTAGCCACATTCCCTCCCTTCTAGCCTTAGTGCAAGGCAGAGTAGCCACAGGTTGGCTGTAGCATGTAAATTACGGTCAAGCTGTTGCAGCCTTTACCTGATGTGGACACTGTATGTTAAATGAGAAAAGGAACAGAAAAGCCAGCTCAGTGCCACTGTGTTAACCGTATGTAATAGAGGCATTTCATACCAGATCTTCTTTCCAGGGGTAGGAATGTATTTATTTATGACACTTTCAGTGCTTTGGTTTGTGTGTTCCATCTTTCACATGGTTTTCTGGAAGATACAACTCGCAACAACTTCTTGTGCATGTTAAAAATTATCCACATTCCTTCCATCCTTTCTATGGCAAACTGGCATTTTCCATCTGATCCTTCCCTCCCCAGCAAGCCACTGTCACCCAAAGTGACATTAAATACACTTGTGGTTTCAGCACTTATGTGCTTGCAAATATTCAAACCTTTAGCAAATGCCAAAATGCTCTGAAGAGATCCTTAATTCACCCTAGAGACTTGCCAACACCAGTGTCAGTATCTGACAAAACTGTCCTCAACAGAAAAATGCGGTGCCTTTGCCCTTTCATAACACAGCTACAACCATCCGACATGTAGAGCTGTCTCACGTCAGGGGACGTGAAGATTAATCGATGTCCTCTTTCATGCACTGTCCTGGACACACAAAAACATCTCAGTATTCTGACATTGTTGTTTTCAACTCCTTCAGTCCAGTAACAAATAGTGAAAATACCTCTTACTAATTAGGCTCAAGAGCTTAGCAACTTTGGAAAGGCCAATACAGCATCTGTCATAGACATTTTCACTTCTGGCGTAGCACGATTTGCCAGAAGTAATAAGGGCCTTTTGCTTTCCATACTCAATGTCTGTCTGTATCACTGACCTCATATTGTCTGCTTGCAGCTCATACAAGATAAAGAACAGCTTAGCTCCTGCACGTGTTGATCTGACTTCAG